GAGGGAGGATAAGAGAAAAAGAAAAAGAAGCATTGACTTCCCATTCTCTCTGTTGCAGTAAAATAAGGCATTAGCATCTAATCACAACTTTTTGTTTTTTTCATAATAATATAAACAAGCCATTTCTATAAAGATCTATCAATCTAATCGGTAAAACCCAAAATCAAAATTTCACTCTTTTCCACCTCAAGCATGAAGTTCAGAAGTGGTCTCCATGTGGAAACAAAAGTACTTATATTCTTTTCTCATCAAAATAGTCAATTTTGCCATTTCAGCCAACTCCATCAATTTCTGCAACCATTCGTCCATGGTAGGAATTGAAGTGCCCTTCCATTTTTGTGCATACAATAGCCTATTGTATGCTCGTTCTTAACCTTCAAGCCCAAAAAAGGTTTTAGAGAATTTCCAAGGAGTGATCAGAGTTAAGAATTTTGAGAGTTTTTAACGGAAATTTAGTTTCACAGCAGGTGAATCCAACAGCAAAGAGAAACAGTCCATAAAAAAAGGTGCAATTTATTATTATTATTTTTAATGTTGGTTTAACATAGTGCATCAACAAAATATTGAAAATATAATAAATACAGAGGGAGCAGCAAGGGTGGGATTGGAAAAATTTAGCAGCCAGTTCTCTGTCCGGTTGCTTGGTGGGCGTCGCCATGGGGGCATGGCCTAGTCAGCTTCCTGAGCCATGGTGGGGGGGGCATTTTCACCCTCCCCAGGCTCCGGAGGCTTTTCTTGAGCCTCCGGGAGGACGAAAATGGCCTTCCCTGGGCTCCAGAGGCCCTCCGTAGGCTGAAAATGGGCCCGTTTCCAGACTTTCGGTACTTCCAGTAGGCCCATTTTTTGCCCTCCCCAGGCTCCAAAGGCTTTTCTCAAGCCTCCGGAAGGGTGCAAACAGCCTCCCCCAGGATCTAGAGGCCTTCCGGTTGCTGGAAACAGGCCCGTTTCTGGACTTCTGGTACTGTTTTTCGCCCTCCCAGCACCTCTGCATGGGCCCTGCACTTACCTGACATCCAAAATGGGCCACGTGGAGATTCCTGGGAGGGGAGGGGCAGGTGGGCGGGGTCAGCCAGTCCTTGCAACTACCAGTTCAGCAAACTAAATTAAAATTAACATCCGGTTCGCCTGAACTGGCCTGAACTAGCTGAATCCCATCCCTGGGGAGCAGGCATTAAAAATGCACAGTTGGGAAATGTATTTAATTTCATCCATTTTAAAGAGTTACTCATGATTATTTGTTAATTAATTAGTTAATTATCCTAAAGAAGTATATTTCCAGCATTTTGCTATAGTAACTCTAACACTGACAAAGTAAAAATGTGGAACTAATTTTTGATGCTGCATCATTTTTATCAATTGCCCGGATATAATTATGCAATTTTTCTAGTTTCCTGAAGAAATTTCAACTGAGGTTTGTAACATGTACTAATTTAATTACATCTCTTCAACACATTACAGAAAAGCTTTGATTAATATAATGGTCCTTTAAAGTGTCATACTTCCATTTAGTATGAAGAAGGTCAGAAAAGTAAGTTTTATTACAGTGGCTGATTTTCCTTCAAAGAAAGTTTATATAAGTTTAAAACTTTTTTATTTGCAATTAAGCAGGAAAAGGGTGATTAGAATGTTGATTTTGGAAAACTTTTAAATGGTCTGAGAAGTCAGATTGACTGGAAACAAAAATTTGGAAAGTTATACGAATATTCCCTGTGGTTTCTTTAATATCTTATTGAAATCTATAAAGACTTGAGTTTAAATGTAAAAAAAACAATATCTTCTTGCGAAAATGTTCTGGATGACAGAAAAACATGATAAGGGAAAACCTTACTAGAGGCAGACAGATAGAATTAAAGATTATAATTAAAAGAGAATTCCTAGTAATACACAAGGGAGTAAAATATTTAAACTCTGAAAGCATTTAAAGATCTTTGATAACAACGTACCTAGAACATACTCTTTAAACTTACCTGATAAATAAATAAGGGCATAAAAAAAGCGATAGAAAAGAATATAGCTGAAAATCAGGCTATTTTAGATATGGATTTAATATTGACAGGATACAAGAATCATATTGACAAAGATGTTATGTAGGACCTAGATATGAAACTGGCTGAGGTTTTAATAACTGAAAGCAACACACAAGTAATAAATCAGAGGGGTGACTTGGATATGTGGACTTTAACTGGTTCTCTGCCCTAATGACTGAATGGGTGGGCGTGGCCATGGTGGGCGTGGCCAGGGGGTGTGACAGGCAGCACTTGGTCTCCTGCAGCCTCATGGGAGTGAAAATGGGCCGCCGGGCCCCGGTGCACCCCCCGTGCCCCGTTTGCACTTACCTGGGAGACAAAATAGGGCGCATGGGGACTCCTGGAAGAGGCGGGGCAGGGCGAGGTGGGGCCAGCCAGCAATTTAATTGCTGGTTCGCACCGAACCAGCCTGAACTGACACTGATAAAAGTGACGGACAATTTCCTTATTTTTGGATTGACAAAAGAGAGACCAAAAAAAAAAAAAAATCAGCTTTTGGGACATTACATAAAAGGAATAATCAAGACCTTTAAAATTAAAATTTATGAAGTTGGCTTATTTGATCAAAGTTAAACTCTTTTTCTCCTCTTTTTTTCCAACAGCTTTTAATGGGTCTCTCTTGGCTAGGATAGAATGATGAGGCTTTATTATCACATGTATTATGTATCTGTCTTACGCAAAGTAATAATGTAATGTATAATACTATAATATAAACAATTATTTGGATGCCGCTTACTGAAGCAACTGTAGAGAGTATTATTCAAAGGAGTGCATTGCAATATAATGCAATTTATAATTATTTGTATGCCACCTAGTCAAGAGGTATGCTGATATAAATTTGGGGTTTAATCAGACAACCCATCACAGAAAACTCTGCTAGGAACCTATGACAGCTCTCTCGATCTCTTTCCAGTGAACACAATCACTCTTGCAACTAAGGCAGTTGCAGTTTCCCCAGTTGTAAAAATTTCTAGGACTAAATAGGTCTTGCGAACATAGAATTGGAAGGGACTCTTCAGGTCTATGGAATCCCACCTCCTGTAGGAATCTATTTAAAGCCTTATAGCTTCCTCCTGAATCCACGACTACTCCTGTCTCTTTGCATTGTTGATTCGACACTGAAACTTGTCTTCCTGTAATGAAGTTTTGTCTAACATTCAGTCAAAATCTGTCTTCCTGTTACTTAAATCCATTATTTCCTGTTCTGTCTTCTGGAAGGAGAGAAGACAGGACTGGAGTCTCTTTTGCAAGGATTTCTTCTAGCACTTTGAACAGAGTTATCACAACCCTCCACAGTCTTTTCAAGGCTGAATGACCCCAGCTCCTTTAAGATTTCTCCACAGAAATCAGTAACTAGTCCCTGACAGTTGACATCTTCTGAAGTTTTTCCAGCTTTTATCAAAAGTTGTTTGAGGACGAGACAAGGAGTAACAGGTGGAAGATTAGAACTAAGGAGAAATTTCCTGATGTTAGAAATTCTGTTTTATATAAAGCATCACAGAGCAAATAAAGAGCACAGTCACCATGTGCTTTACTGCTCAGCTATATAACTGTAACAGGAAACTCTACTTAGAACAAAAGAGCATAGAGTATGTACCATAGACCCAAATTTGTAAACACTGCCATTTATTGGCTAAATACTACTGTAGTTGTTGCATAAAAATACATTCCAACAATGAATTCCAACACCTGACAGTGAGAACAATTAATCAATGGAAGGCCTTACCTCCAGAAGTTGTGAGTTCTCCATCACTGGTTTTCAAGAGGAGATTGTACAGGCATTTGTGTTGAATGGTATAGGAATGGTATATGCTTGATCAGGGAGTTGGACAAGAAGACCTCCAAGGTCTCTTCCAACCCTGTTATTTTATGTTCTATGTTTTGAATTCTTAAAAAGGATGACCCAGAACACAACTTAGGCAAAATGTAGTGTATTTTTTTAGGTATGTCCAGATTCCACAACAGTGAGAAAGACTACAAAGAAACGAAGCTCTTGTCTTTATTTATTTTTTAAATTTTGTTGATTTTTCATTTTTCATAGCCTGTCCAACACATGATGTTCTTGGTGGGTTACAAGAAACTAATATAAATGCAGCAATAATAAACATCCAAATAATAAAACCACTAATAATAAATCAGCAATCATAATCTCCCCAAGTTGGAGGCCAAGGAAACATAACATAGAGGGCCAGTTTGGTTTAGTGGTGAAGGCATCAGACTACAAACGATGAAAACCAGCTGGGTGACTTTGGGCCAATCACCAGGAGACAGTGAATTCTAGTCCCACCTTAGGCATGAAAACCAGCTGGGTGACTTTGGACCAATCACCAGGAGACAGTGAGTTCTAGTCCCGCCTTAGGCATTAAAACCAGCTGGGTGACTTTGGGCCAATCATCAGGAGACAGTGAATTCTAGTCCCACTTTAGGCATGAAAGCCAGCTGGGTGACTTTGGACCAATCACCAGGAGACAGTGAGTTCTAGTTCCGCTTTAGGCATGAAAACTGGCTTGATGACTTTAGACAAATTGCTCTGTCTTAACCCAACTGAACTCACAGGGTTGTTGCTGTGGAGAGAATAGGAGGAGAAAGGAGTGTTACCACTCTGAGTTATTTAAAAATAATAATAAAGGTGAGCTAGAAATAAATAACAATAGTAAAAGCTATGATTGAAAGTCTGTTGAAATAAAATCTCCTAACAACCATGAGAGAAGGAGCTTCATTGACCTTTGGGGTTAAGGAGCAGCACAATGGGGGGGGAGTCCTGCCACAAAGAAGTCTGTCATTAAGCATCTCCCACTCCCTTCAAAGCGAGAAAAAACTTGCAAATCTTGCTGAAGTCTTGCAACCAGAAAGTCTGTACACCTGTCCCCAAAGCCAATTCCCTCTCTTGTCTCCTACTTTTTTATGTCTTGCATTGACTCACTTTGTTCCACCCTGATCGCCGTAAATCCACGCAGGATCTGTTCTTTCCAGTCTCTTTCAGAATGTCCTGGTATTCGCTAAAAGCAGACGACTTGAGACGCCCCAGGCTGCAAAGAACGTCCGGTCGCTCCATGAGCAGTCATCAAAGCTATCAAACTCCAGAAATGGGGGAGTTGCAACGCATGTTATGGACCCCAGTTCCTTGCCGGGGAAATGTCAACGAAGTCTGGCCTAACCTTTATATTGGAGATTTGTAAGCAAATGAGTTTTTATGGCTTATCTTGAAAAGTATTGCAGTTCTCCTGTTAGAGAAGGGAAGAAAAGGGAAGACGGAAAAGCAAGGCGGCCATCTTAGCCTTCTTACTTGGAATTAAGCCAGTGGTGAAATCCTGCCGGTTCTCTCCGGCTCACATGAGCCGGTAGTGCCAGCGGCTCATGGTTCGGCGAACTGGTAGCGGCAGCAGCATGAAGCTCCGCCCACCCACCTGGACGTCATTACTTCCTGGTTTTAACCCTCTGCGCATGCGCAAAGCTTTCTGTGCATGTGCAAAGGGTCAAAAATCAGACATGACGATGGCGCGCACTTCCAAACCGGTAGGGAAGGAAGGTTAGTAAAGTAGATTTCACCCCTGAATTAAGCCCCATCCTCCTTAACCAGGTTTACTTTTGACTACTATTTTACAGGTAGTCCTCGACTTACACAACAGAGCCCCAAATTTCTGTTGTTAAGTGAGGCATTTGCTAAGTGAGTTTTGCCCCGTTTTTACGACCTTCCTCGCCACGGTTGTTAAGTGAATCACGGCTGTTGATATGTTAGTAACCTGGTTGTTAAAGGAATCTGGCTTCCCCATCAACTTTGCTTGTCAGAAGGTCGCAAAAGGGGATCACGTGACGTTGGGACATAACAACGGTCATAAGTATGAACCAGTTGCCAAGCATCTGGATTTTGATCACGTGACCGTGGGGATGCTTCAAGGGCCGTAACTGTGAAAAGCGCTCCTAAGTCACTTTTCCCAGTCCGTCTGTAACATTGAATGGTCACTAAATGAACTGTTGTAAGTCAAGGACGACCTGTATTGTATCATATAACTATTATTGGATCTTATTGGCCAATCATTATACAGGTAATCTTTGACTTACGACCATTCGCTTAACAGCCGTTCAAACATATGACGGTGGTGAAAAAAATGTCGTACTTGTTAAGGGTATTGTTGTTGTGTTACCAACCAGCAGAGTAGGTGCACAGAGAAACGTTGCTGAGAGCAATAAGAGATAAGCAAACTGGTTTATCAAAAGCTTACTTTATAGTGGAAAAACAATCTCATAGTCTTTAAACAAATTCCAAGTCTTTTCCAGTTAAATCAGTCCGAAGTTACAGATATCTTCTTACCACACAAACAGTAGTTGGTTAGAATAACAAACTCTCTCTGGTTCACAAACCACGATGGTAGCAGATACATGCAACGATGATAGCACAATGGTAGCAACTCCTCACACAATGGTAGCTTATCATATCATATCATCAACTGAATACGTTACAGTACCTGACTTAAATATGTTCACAATCAGTAATTATCTAATTACAGCATGACTCAGCATTACAATGAATCAGCAGGAAAACTTTAAAGTCATACAATATATATTCAGATTAAAATTACGGTACATATATATTGCCTGGACAACTTGTTAGGCTCAAACCATATCCTAACAGTACTTACGACCATCGCAACATCCCTGCAGTCACACGATCCAAAATTTGGGCCCTTACAACCAGTAGACACGTATATTTATGATGGTTGCAAAAAAAAAATTGGTCATAAAACTGGGTGTGACACACTTAACGCATTTTTAGCAACCAAGAGTTGGGTCCCAGTTATTTTTTGTAAGGAGGACTGCTTGTAAAAGACAGGTTAAATTGAATGAGACCAGGAGGTACAAGTTCCCAAATTTGACTGTAAAAAATACAATTCATGTAATAGAGTTGTCATAGTCTGGAATGCCCTACCAGATTCAGTTGTCTCAGCTACAAATTTTCACAGTTCTACTCACAAATTGACTTCCGTGGACCTTACATCATGCTTAAGTAGTCCGTAGAAGGGGCGTGCATAAGTGCACTAACATGCCTACCATCCCTGTCATTGTACTTTTATTCCCCTATTCTTGTTCTCGTTTTTGTTTGACAAATTCCAGTAAATAAAAGAAATTATTGTCCAAAAGCTGGAAAAATAACACAACCATTGCTTTGTAGCTCGTTTCTTTTTAAAGTCTACATTATAAATGCATGACTACAATAATATCTGCTGTAGAAATTATCCATGGCTCAGAGTACTTGTTGACCTAAACACAGAGATATAAAAATTAGTGTTCCCTTGCTCTGTTCGTTAAATAAGTAGGATGACCAGAGAAGCTGTTTGTATGTTTGGTCCAGGTTTTTAAAGACAGCAAGGATCGTGAGCTCCATCTCACGTCTTCAGAGCAGCTTCTTTCTTCTGGTCCAGTTAAGCACTACAGATGATAAAAATTAGGAAACGTGGAGAATGAGGGTTCTCCAAGAACTAGGTTTGACATATTTGAATGCCCCTGTAAATTTGAATGGTCGCTAAATGAATGATTGTTAGTCAAGGAATTACCTCGAGCCATGGGGGCACAGTGGTTAGAATGCAGTACTGCAGGCTATTTCTGCCGACTGCCGGCTGCCTGCAATTTGGCAGATCGAATCTCACCAGGCTCAAAGTTGACTCAGCCTTTCATCCTTCCGAGGTGGATAAAATGAGGACCCAGATTGTTGAGGGCAATAGGCCGACTCTGTAAACTGCTTAGAGGGAGCTGTAAAGCACTGTGAAGCAGTATATAAGTCTAAGTGCTATTGCTATCTGTATAGTTCTTTAAAAAGATTGGACAACCATTTGTCTGAAATGGTATAGGGCCATGATGGCGAACCTATGGCACGGGTGCCACAGGTGGCACATGGAGCCATATCAGTGGGCACGTGAGCATTGCCCTAGCTCAGCTGTAGTGCACATGCGTGCGCTGGCCAGCTGATTTTTGGGCCTTCCAGTCCCACCGGAAATTGGGAAATGGACTGTTTCCGGCCTCTGGAGGGCCTCGTGTGAGTGTGTGTGTGTGGGGAAGGCTGTTTTCGCCCTCCCCAGGCTTCTGGAGCCTGAGGAGGGTGAAAAACGGGCCTACCGGGCCCACTGTGCCATCACATGATAAAAGTGGGGGGGGGAGGCATGGGGGTGGGGTACATTGAACTATGGGTGTGGGCACGCATGTGGGCGACCTCCCCATGTTCCCCCCACTTTTGGCACACGGCGGCAAAAACGTTAGCCATCACTGGTATAGGGCCATGATGGCGAACCTATGGCACACGTGCCACAGGTTGGGGCCTGGAGAGGGCGAAAAACAGCCCTACCGGAAGTCCGGAATTGGGTCGTTTCCGGCCTCCGGAGGGTTCAGGGAAGGTTGCTAGGCCCAAAATCAGGCACAGGGGGTTGGACTAGAAGACCTCTGAGGCCCCTTCCAATTCTGTTGTTCTGTTAATAAGAGATGGAAGGGACCTCAGAGGTCATGTAGTCCAACCCCCTGCACAAGCACCATGCTCTGCACAATACGAAAATTCTCTAAAATTTTCGAGGTGCTTTTACAAACTTTTGTTTCTCCTCAGCTTTTCTTTGGGCTCCCTTCCCATAAATTCAATAGGGCTGCAAACCTTCAAAGAATCATTAGTTTGCAGCAAAGGAGATGAAGAAAATGCTTAACTCTTTCCTGCCCCCATCTAGGTCATTGCAGCCCAGACGGATGAAAGGGAAGGAATCCTTTGACTGCTTTTAGGCGGGTCTTGATTAGTGCTTCTATGCATTGTGCCCCTGGTGTTATTGTGATTTTATTGTACTCCATTCAGCTGAAAACCAGATTATAGCATTTAAGCAAATGGATCAATAAATAAAGCAATACAAACACCCGAGACTTTCCGGCACCATGCTGAGTGGTTATTTAAAAGCCTGGTGCCTAAAGCACAGCCTGTTTAGCTCTTGAAAATGGAACAATGAAATAAGATATAATCTCTCATCACTGAACACTATTCCCGAATCCTGCTTCTCTTCTCCAAATGGTGAAAGAGGAGAGGAGAGGAGAGGGGAAGGGGAGGGAAGGGAAGGGAAGGGAAGGGAGGAGGGGAGGGGAGGGGAGGGGAGAGGAGAGGAGAGGAGAGGAGAGGAGAGGAGAAGAGAAGAGAAGAGAAGAGAAGAGAAGAGAAGAGAAGAGAAGAGAAGAGAAGGAGGGGAAGGGAGAGGAGAAGAGACGAGAGGAGAGGAGAAGAGAAGAGAAGAGAAGAGAAGAGGAGAGGAGAGGAGAGGAGAGGAGAGGAGAGGAGAGGAGGGGAGGGGAGAGGAGGGGAGGGGAGGGTGAGGAGACAGAAGAGAGGAGAAGAGAGAAGAGAAGAGGAGGGGAAAGGGAGAGGGAGAGGGAGGGAGGGAGGGAGGGAAGGAAGGAAGGAGAAAGAAAGAAAGAAAGAAAGAAAGAAAGAAAGAAAGAAAGAAAGAAAGAAAGGTTTTGTTAGATACATTTCTACACAATACTTGGAATACATGCTTTTGTGTTTTAAAAAGTGTTTTATTTATATATAGAATGCTTTTACTTTATCGTGTTCTCTTCTAAAACAGACTTGACAGGTTTTAATTGCACTACTTAGAAACTAGGGGATTTAAAAAAGTAAAGAGGTGAACTGCAATCATACCATCAAAAGCTCAGCATTTACATGCTACCATCTATGTGTGTGTGAAGGTGTGTTCCACTAGAAGAGAATATTTGTGGCTCAGGATTGAACAGTGGCATCCTTGGTGCCCTCTGAGCTTCATTATTTTATTGCAGACATTTCATTACCCAGCTAGATATCATCATCAGTTCTAGGTGGGTAGGATGTTACCTAGTTGGGTAATGAAACATCTGCAAGAAATCAACCAAGCAACCAGGGAGCACCAAGGACCACAAATATATAGTATGTTCCAGTGGTGAAATTCAATTTTATTTACTGCCGGTTCTGTGGGCGTGGCTTGGTGGGCATGGCAGGGGAAGGATATTGCAAAATCTCCATTCCCTCCCCACTCCTGGGGAAGGATATTGCAAAATCTCCATTCCCTCCCCACTTCTGGGGGAAGGATACTGCAAAATCTCCATTCCCTCCCCACTTCTAGGGAATGATATTGCAAAATCCCCATTCCCTCCCCACTCCTGCGGGAAGGATATTGCAAAATCTCCATTCCCACCCCACTCTGGGACCAGCCAGTGGTGGTATTTGCCGGTTCTCCAAACTGCTCAAAATTTCCGCTACCGGTTCTCCAAACTACTCAAATTTTCCGTTGCCGGTTCTCCAAACTACTCAAAATTTCTGCTACTAGTTCTCTAGAACCTGTCAGAACCTGCTGGATTTCACCCCTGATATGTTCCCTTACAGAGTTACCTGGTGCAGTAAACAGGGCAGAGTCCCTTTGGGATTAAAATTGAGCCCTTGTATTTAGTTAACTAAGTCAATTGGCCCCTTTTAGTGTATCCATGAACACTTAACTCCTCTCCAAGGTGAGGAAAACTGTAGAATCATAAAATTAACCCAGGCATCCTCGTTTGCAGGTACATAGCCCGGAACATAGAGCAGCTGCGCCGGATGGGCATCACCCACATTGTGAATGCTGCCGCGGGAAGATTCCACATCGATACGGGAGCCAAGTTCTACCGAGACCTGCCAGTTGATTACTACGGGGTGGAAGCAGATGATGATCCAAAGTTTGATCTCAGCATTTACTTCTACCCAACTGCTAAATACATCAGGGCAGCGCTGAACTCACCCAGAGGTAAACAGAGTGGACTGCATCTCCTTGGGTGTCCTGGTAACCATTTTCCATCCAACATCTAGCTAGTATTGCCTTATCATGTCGGTGGATGGACCTTAAAGGTAAAGGTTCCCCTTGCACATATGTGCTAGTCGTTCCCGACTCTAGGGGATGGTGCTCATCTCCGTTTCTAAGGTGAAGAGCCAGCGCCATCTGAAGACGTCTCCGTGGTCATGTGGCCAGCATGACTGATTTTTTCCTCAGTTGAATGCTCACCTACGGCCTACATTTTTCTGGGGGGTGGGAACCAGTGGAAATTTAAGAGATGAAAAAATGCAGGGAGGGTCAAGAGAGGCTCAACTAGATGTCCTGGTTCTCCTTTAGGGCAGGGAAGCGGGACTGAGCATTTTGGTCAAAGCCAGAGGGTTCCTCCTTTACGTTAGAGCTGTTGGGTTAGTTTGGGAAAATCTTCATTTGCCAAAGTGAGGCATTCGCATCAGGGGTGGGATTGAAAAATTTTAGCAACCGGTTTCTCTGCCCAGTTGCTGGGTGGGCGTGGCCATGGGGTGTGGCCAACTCAGCCTCCTGCACCATGGCGGGGTGGGGGAGGCCTTTTCGCCCTACCCAGGCTCTGGAGGCTTTCCTCAAGACTCCAGGAGGGTGAAAATGGCTTCACCCGGGCTCTGGAGGCCCTCTGGAGGCCAGAAATGGGCCCATTTCTTCTGCTAGGCCCATTTTTCATCCTCCCCAGGCTCCAGAGGCTTTCCTTGAGCCTTCAGCAGGGTGAAAACAGCCTCCCCCTGGCTCCGGAGGCCCTCCAGAGGCCCTCCGGAGGCTGGAAATGGGCCAATTTCTGGACGTCCAGTACTTCCGGTGGGGCCGTTTTTTGTCCTCCTAGAGCCTCTGTGTGGGCCCTGAACTTACCTCGCATCCAAAAAGTCTGTGTGGAGACTTCTGGAAAGGGCAGGGTGGAGTGGGCGGGGCGAGGCCAGCCAGTCCTTGCAACTACCGGTTCGGCGAACCAGATGTAAAATTAGCATCCGGTTCACCAGAACCAATCTGAACTGGCGGAATCCAACCCCTAATTCGCACCAAAGTTAAGACTTTCCGAGTTGGAGTGTAATATTTTTTGAGTCTGAGTCTGACTGCCATTGAGCCAACATTCTGAGTGTCAACCTTCATAGTTTCAGAAGGACATAAAAGTGCCCAAATCCATTTAAAACCAAAAATGCTAGATTTAGCACGTGGGTGCTAAATCTAATTCCTAATTCCAGATGATCAAATCCAAAACTGACTCTAAGTTGAAAAGTCTTCCTACATTTTTTTTTTTTCTGAGCTGGGATTTATCCCTTGATCAATCTCTTCCTTTGCTTGCTGGTTTTGGCTATATTTAGATAGATAGGACTCGAGTTTCTTCTCCTGCTGCTGTGCATGATGCATAGACCCCAGAGGAATTTATTCTTAGTTGATCCAACTAAACAGGAATGCCCAAGAGGTGGAGGGTTCAGGTGTCCGTGTTCCTCAGCTTTGGGAAATAAAATTTGCCTTGCAAGGAAAATGAGATAGGAATGGAAACCAGGCATCAAGCTTTGCTGGGATGGCCAAGGATGACACTGAACCTAAAACCTCAGTTCCTGGGGTCACAGTTTTTACCCTGGGGAGCTACAGAAGAACCATCTCCCTGCTTCCCTACATTCTTCCACTGCCTCACATTAGTCCAAGTGAGCCTCGTGTGCTTGTTGGTTGTTTGCACTCAAATATGCCTCTAGCTCAGGGGTCAGCAACCCACGGCTCTGGAGCCGCATGTGGCTCTTTTATCCCTCTGCTGTGGCTCCCTGTCGCTCAAAATATGTGTTACAACCGCCAATGTGTGATACCTGCCGGCACACGATTTATTGAGCTTTTCGACTTCCGGTAGGCCAATCATGGATAAATCTAAGACAAGGAAAGTTTCAGAAGAAAACAGAATGTTTAATTCAACTACATATGCTAGTTCTGTGGCCTCTCAGGAAATAGTTCAGGCACGGGAAGGGTTTTGTGGCTCCTGGTGTTTTCTTTTCTGTGGGAAATGGGTCCAAATGGCTCTTTGAGTGTTTAAGGTTGCCGACCCCTGCTCTAGCTGCTGAAAATAAATAAAGGTTAAGAAAGAGACAGCCCACAAACATTTTAAATACAGACATTCCAAAACATGCACACATATCCTATCTTCTTACATTTCAGGATAATGCCCAGTCCAAATCTGTAGTGCAATGTCTAATAATAAATACATATAACAAATACAACACTAACAGAGCCATCCCCTTGTATATACTGGAGCAGGGAGCAAACAGGGAGTGTGAGCTCGCATTTTCGGTGCTGGGGCGAACCGGTTGTTAAATTATGTGAAGCCCACCTCTGGATCCACCGCCTGTCAGCAGCTGATCCTCCCCTGTGTCTGTGCAGGCAGACAGCTCTCCATCCAATTGACCACCTCCTGCAATGCCTGAGGGGTCTGGGACAGCATCGTCCTCTGCCCTTGGCCTCTCCAAACATGCCAAGGGAGATGTGCCATCCCTGTTAGACAGTCCTGGTTCCAACTCCAACTCCTCCTCCTCCTCCTCCAAACCGGGCTCCGATGGGACTATGACATTGTGATGGTGCAGATGCAACAGATGCAACGAGTACAACACATGACCCCACTCAGGGGTAGGCTGCTGGGGGTTCGGAAGAACCTCTAGCTAAGATTCTGTGCAGTTCAGAGAATCCCCATGTGGCTGGCCTGGCTGGCCCCACCCACCCTGCCCCTCCTGGCTGGCCCCACCCACCCTGCCCCTCCCAGGAGTCCCCACGTGGCCCATTTTGGATGCAGGTAGGTGCAGGGTGTGCACGGAGGCTCGGGGAGGGCAAAAAACAGGCCTACCGGAAGTTCGGGAAGGCCGGAAACGGGGCTGTTTCCAGCCTCCAGAGGGCCTCCGGAGCCTGGGGAGGCCTTTTTCGCCTTCCCGGAGGCTCAAGGAAAGCCTCTGGAGCCTGGGGAGGGCAAAAACACCCTCCCCCCCGGTGCAGGAGGCTGACTAGGCCACGCCCACCATGGCCACACCTACCCAGCAACCGGGTAGAGAACCCCTTGCTAAAATTTTTGAAGCCCACCCCTGACCCCACTGGATTTACAACATACACCAATACTTACTGCAACACCAGCAGTACCAAAAGGACCCGGAAGAGTTAAAAAGATGTGCAGTTTTACAATTAATAGCCTTGAAGTCGCAGGCTCAATTTCTGCTATGCTTGTTTGTTTGCTTTAATTTATTGCCTGGGAACATGCATATTTGCACAGAAAGAAGCTCAAATATTAAAAATTAATTATCTGCTTATGCGCGAGCTTCTATCGTCATTCCTGCACATTCAACATAGCTTTTAAAAACATAAAATTTCTTGTCTATCAATCATTTCTGTCTCCAGGAGAACTCTGAAGACAGCAATTCGTTTCCCAGGAACTTGCTCTGAATAATTCAGTTTTTGCTGGCCTTGTTTACTCTTGTAAAGAGGTTTCTTTGCTGTATTGTTTATTACCTTCACTCTGACTCCTGCCCCAGTCCTAGGCAGGTAGCTGACCTCAAAGCCAATTCTTCCAGGAATAATAATTATCTTTTCACCAACAACGTGAAGATACAGCTGTTGGTTCTTTAAACTGCTGTTGGCCTTCACACGCTTTGAATTATTCCCAAGAACCTAGGATGTTGCAAGGATCAGCGTAATATAGATGCGGGACTTTTGCAATTAACAGGTAGAAATTTGTCAATGTGCAGATTTTCTAAGTACCGTCCAAGGTTCCTATAATCATTGGAACCACAAAGGCTCCATAATCTTTCAATTAAAAATTTCAGCTCTTGATACTTTATGTTCTTCTCCAACTCTTTGTCTTCTATTCTGCTATCCTCTGGTAAGGTAAAGGTTCCCCTCGCACGTATGTGCTAGTCGTTCCCGACTCTAGGGGACAGTGTTCATCTCTGTTTCAAAGCTGAAGAGCCAGCTCTGTCCGAAGACGTCTCCATGGTCATGTGGCTGGCATGACTCAACGCCAAAGGCTCGCGGAACGCTGTTACCTTCCCACCAAAGGTGGTCCCTATTTTTCTACTTGCATTTTTTATGTGCTTTCGAACTGCCAGGTTGGCAGAAGCTAGGACAAGTAACAGAAGCTCACCCCGTTACGCGGCACTAGGGATTTGAACCGCCGAACTGCCGACCTTTTGATCGACAAGCTCAGCTTCTTAGCTACTGAGCCACCTTGTCTCTTATATACAATCCTCTGGTATTGCCACATAAATGAGCCACCCTTTCTTCTTTTCAACCACAGTTAAACGTGGCCAAGACTTATCCATTCTGTATTTGGAAATCCCACAATATTTTAACCTACTCGTTTTTGACTACTCATTCTACTATATGCTCCCACTAATTTTTCATTACTGGTCTATGTATCATTTTTACCGATGTTCCAGTGAATCATTTGATGACTTTGTTATATTGATGTTTATAATCAGTTATAATCTGCATTCATTCAATGTTATGGCAGGAGCTGAGTCTATGATCTACTATTTTGTTTGCTTCTCTGCACGATCTTCACTTTGAATCATTTGATGGTTTTTCAGTCATGGCCTTGATTGCAGTAGTTCAAAAAGCTTGCTCTTGTGCAGCCAAAATCAATCCTTGACTCTTTTTTTTAATGTTCCAATAGTAAGCTATTGTCAGATCTTATCTTTATCCTCTTTCCCCTTAATTGTTTGTAGAAATTGACGGTGTGGTGCTTTTGCTTGTCACCATGGCCCAGGACAGAACAGAATAAGAGAGTTGGAAGGGACCTTGGAGGTCTTCTAGTCCAACCCCCTGCTCAAGCAGGAAGTCCTCCACCATTTCAGACAAATGGTTGTCCAAACTCTTCTTAAAAACGTCCAGTGTTGGAGCATTCACGACTTCTGGAGGCAAGTCGTTCCACTGGAGGCAAATTGTTCCACTAATATTGTTTGGATTTTTAATTACATTATTTCAGTATTCACTTTTGTTTCCTGTATATTTAGTAAGTCCCAATTTCTAGCTTGCATCAATGCTGGTTCTTGGCTGTCTTTTACATAATCAACTAATGCATGTTTTTCTTCTTGAATGGTTTGTTTGACCTGAAGTAAAGTTTAGACTCCATTTCCGGGGGGCAGATGTAATCTACCAATATCATTATGGGGAAGTAATGCATAGTGAATAGTCATCTATTTTCTTGTCTTTTTGGTCCAAACTTTCTCCAGTTAATAATTCCAACAGTATATCATAACACAGATATGGTCCAGGTATTGATGATTTTTAATCATATACCCACCATTCAACTGTGTCTTTAGCAATTTTCTCCCTCTTTGGATGTCTTCTTTACTAATCTCATTTTTAACTTGCCCATGCTTGATGTCACCCAACTGTAAAATACCCAGATTCTTGTAGGATTCCTCCTAATAGCACCTGATGGTCTGGCAATTTAGCATTTCAATTCCATTCTTGTTTGTGATTTTACTATGCTGTAAGCAACATTTCTCTAGATCAAATTCCATTGCTACCATGTTTCGCTGAAAATAAGAACCTGTCTTATATTTTTTTGAATCCCGAAATAAGTGCTTGGCCTTATTTTCAGGGAGGTCTTATTATTTTGGGGTGCATGGAGCAAGATGGGGCTCCTTTTGCCATCTTACCTGATTTCCCGCTCTGCATTTAAATATTTTCAGGGAGGGCTTATTTTCGGAGGGGGGGAGGCTTATTTTAGTGCATGTGCTCAAAAGGCCGATTGGGCTTATTATCAGGGGATGTCTTATTTTCGGGAAAACAGGGTATATCTGTGCTAAAAATTCTTACAATGTTTGTCAATGACTGTTTTTCAATTCCTGGTTTTCCATAAAGCTTCCGATCATCCATGCAAAGCAAATATGGGATTTTGTTACTTATTATTATTATTATTATTATTATTATTATTATTATTATTATTATTTTGCTCTTTGATAGCTAAGATTTGTTTTGTCATGGAAGTGGGATCATAGCAATGACAAATAATAAGGGGAATAGGGAAGATGCCCCTCCCAATGTCGACAAGCCCATATTTTTCACTCCAACCACCAGTTCTATTTTCCACTGCTTCATGATTTTTCTATAAAGTCTACTGCGGTGGTTCTCAACCTTTTCTTCACCATGGACTCCCTTTAAATACCTTTTGTGGCCACAGACCACCAAAACTTAACTCAATATTTAAATCATAATATTTCTTCAAGACTTCGCAGATATCCTGTGATGACATTGTGATCCTCTATGGACCACAGGTTGAAAATCACTACTCTACTGTTCTTTCTGACACCATTTATTTAACAGAATACCGTGTTTCCCCGAAAATAAGACCCTGTCTTATATTTTTTTGGACCCTGAAATAAACAGTTGGCCTTATTGCCATGCACTCAAAAGTCTGATTGGGTTTATTATCAGGGGATGTCTTATTTTGGGGAAAACAGGGTAACAGAATAACAGAGTTGGAAAGGACTTTGGAAGTCTTCTATTCCTGCTTAGGCAGGAAACCCTATACCACTTCAGACAATGGTTATCCAATATCTTCTTAATAACTTCCAGTGTTGGAGCATTCACGACTTCTGGAGGCAAGTTGTTCCGCTGATTAATTGTTCTCACTGTCAGGAAATTTCTCCTTAGTTCTAAGTTGTTTCTCTCCTTGATTAGTTTTGACCCATTGCTTCTTGTCCAACCCTCAGGTGCTTTGGAGAATAGCTTGACTCCTTCTTCTTTGTGGCATAGAGGTATTTGTTCTCCCACAAATTCCTTCCTATTGATTTTGGCTTTGGACTGAGCTGCAAGAGCTTTATAATGCCTTGTTAAGGCCACACTTGGAATACTGCATTCAGTTTTGGTCGCCACGATGTAAAAAAAGATGTGGAGACTCTAGAAAGAGTGCAGAGAAGAGCAACAAAGATGATTAGGGGACTGGAGGCTAAAATATATGAAGAACGGTTGCAGGAACTGGATATGTCTAGTTTAATGAGAAGAAGGACCAGGGGTGACATGATAACAGTGTTCCAATATCTCAGGGGCTGCCACAAAGAAGAGGGAGTCAAGCTATTCTCCAAAGCACCTGAAGGTAGGACAAGAAGCAATGGGTGGAAACTAATCAAGGAGAGAAGCAACTTAGAATTAAGGAGAAATTTCCTGACACTTAGAACAATTAATCAGTGGAACAACTTCCCTCCAGAAGTTGTGAATGCTCAAATGCTGGAAGTTTTTAAGAAGAGATTGGACAACCATTTGTCTGAAGTGGTATGTATAGGGTTTCCCACCTGAGCAGGGGGTTGGGAGTACAAGGCCTTCAACGGTCCCTTCCAACTCTGTTAGAGAAATTAAATAAATTCAATATACAAGATATCGACACAATACCAGAAGGAAAAAGAGAAGATGAAGTATGGACGAGAAGACATGTAAGAAGTAAGACGAAATGGAGGAGAATAAGAAAATGCTGACACTTTTTCAGTCTGTCCTTTGCTATGAATGAGAGTTACACCAGCTGAATGCACATATTAGTAAGTCTTAAATGGATGACTAGCATTAACAAGTCACAGAACCATTCCAATAACTCTCCGGATGTCATCATTATTTATTAGCACAGGACAGGTGACATTGTCAGAGGTGACCATGTTAAAAAAAATAAAAAGGATTGTGACACAGATATATGACATTTTCCACAATTCTAGGAGGACCTTGTGTTGCCTCTTTGTATGAATATATCATAATATTATGGCTTTCTTATTTTCAGGGAAAGTCTTGGTTCATTGTGCCATGGGGATAAGCCGCTCAGCAACCCTGGTGCTGGCTTTCTTGATGATCTACGAAAACAAGAACCTCGTGGAAGCCTTAAAGACAGTGAGAGAACATAGAGGAGTCTGCCCGAACACGGGTTTCCTCAGCCAACTTCGGGAGCTCGACCTCCGGTTAACGAGTGGAAAAGGGAAAGCAACGGGGATCCCTTGAAACTTTAGATGTAAAATACTTGGACGGTTGGTGGAAAGTCTAAGAAGAACAATTATATCCCCTCAGAAATACCTAAACATCATGCTGCAGTGTTTACAGGCAATGTCATGAAAACTGTCGTGTGGGCATCTCATTTGAGATTAAAGGTGTGCTGGAACCTTGTTCCATGTTTGATAATGGATTCCCAGGAACTTATTGCTGGAAGGAGGCATTGGAAGCACTGAATCTAACTTCCCGTTCTCTAAAGCAGGGGTCCCCAACCTTTCAGACCTCAGGGACCACTAAATTTATAATTTTAAATCCCACAGACCACTAATATGATCTGCCTAATGACCGGCTAGGTGGGCGTGGCAAGGTGGTCATGTGACTGGGTGGGTGTGGCCAACTGGATGTCACTCATGTTGAGGCGGGCCTTGCCAGCCTCTATTCGCCACTCCTCACCTGCCCGCCCAGGCTCTTTAGGGCCCCAACAGGAAGTAGTTGTTGGAGCTAAGCAGCCACCACGAGAATGAGTTGGCAAAACAGGTCAGTTCCAATTGGATCTGACCGAGAAGGAGGCTCAGCAGAAGCATCTCACTGAGGAGTACGAGCATAGGCTTTCCAAGCAGAGGGAAGACCTGCGGGAGTGCAAGGCCAGGTACCGGCGCCTGGAGGCTCAGTGGGCTGAGATGGTCAGCCAGTTCCAGGCCATGATGCAGTCCTACTGGAACAAGGCCCTCCAGCTCTTCGCCACCAGCGGCGCTTCCCTCCAGCCTTCGCCCAAAGCCCCACACCAGGAGGCCGAAGCAGACCCCAAGTCAGAATTTCTGCCCCCTCTCTAACCAGCACAAAAAATCCCCGAAGGGAGATTCTCTGCAGCAACACAAACTTTCATTGCACGTATCCAGCCCAGGGGCCATAGATTGAGGACCCCTGATTTAGTGCAATATAAAAAATGCAAATAATTTTTCTGTGGACCACCAAAATTTTCTCGCGGACCACCAGTAATCCACAGACCATCAGTTGGTGATTGCTGATCTAAAGTAATTCATACCTTATCCAGTGTCTGATTTAATTCAGGGAAGGATCCAGTGATTCCCAGGTAAAACCCTAGAAAGAATTTGACCTGAGATACAGAAAGCAATTTAACACTGGATTGGCTTGTTCCAAATCTGGTGACTATTCCCTAAAGACTCGGGCAAGTAATTTTTTTTGTTTTTTTTTAAAAGAAACTTCATATATTAAGGAGTTGAGACAAGAATTCCTGGGCAAAGCAGCTGGAAGAAATGGATTTGGGTTTTTTTTGGTCCTCATGTCGATGGATCCAGACACAGGAATAATTAATGATTTCTTAGTCCAACAAACTGCCAGCAAAACTATATTCAGAGGTGGTGCCCCACAGGGGTGGGCTGCTGAGGGTTCACAGGGGTTTGGGAGAACCTCTAGCTAAGAATCTGTGCAGTTTGGAGAACCCCCAAATCTCACTCCTGATTGGCCCAGCCCAGCCCAGCCCTCCCCTCCCAGGAGTCCCCACGCAGCCCGTTTTGAATGCAGGTAAGTGCAGGGTGTGCGCGGAGGCTCGGGGAGGGCGAAAAATGGGCCTACCAGAAGTTCATGAAGGCCTGAAACGGGCCTGTTTCTGGCCTCCAGAGGGCCTCTGGAGCCTGGGGAGGCCGTTTTCGCCCTCTTGGAGGCTCGAGGAAAGCCTCCGGAGCCCGGGGAAGGCAAACCCTCCCCCCATGGTGCAGGAGGCCGATTTGGCCACATCCACCATGGCCACGCCCACCCAGCAACCGGGCAGTGAACCCCTTGCTAAAATTTTTGAAGCCCACCCCTGGTGCTGCATCTGTTCACCTTTCTTTTCTCCCACAAAGCTATCAGAAGCATAGAGATTATTTTTACCCTTCTTCCAAGAAGGGAAAGGTGTCACAATTTCCCTTCTTTGTTATCCTCATACTGTACCTGCAAAGCAGACTGGTGTAGTGTTCCTCAACTTTGAAGACTTTAAGATGTGTGGACTTCAACTCCCAGAATTCTCCAGCAAGCGTGTCTACTGTCTAGGGACATGCCATGAGCGCACCATGACCAATCAGAATTGGGGATAGCCAACTGGAGCACCCCAATTACACTGGCCTACAAGGAGAAAGCCTCGGAAATAAAATAGCTTAATTTTACCAAAACTGGGTCACTAATAAAGGAAAATTAAGTCCCCAGTATTAATTGGCTCCAGTTTCCAAGATACAATTTCAAAATTGTACAAAATTGTACAAGGTCAAAATTGCCTCAGAACAGGGGTGAAATCTACTTACCTTCCCTACCGGTTCGGAAGTGCACGCGCTGCATGGCTAAAACCAGGAAGTAACGACGACTGAGCGGGTGAGCGGAGCCTCAAGCTGCCATTGCTACCAGTTGTCCGTACCACCAGCCGTCATCGCTACCGGTTTGACTGAACCGGGCTGAACTGGGAGCATTTCACCCCTGCCTCAGAATAATTCAAAATTATGAAGGGGGATATGGGATTATGTTCCTAACTTTCCATGAGAATGGTGCCACACCAATCATTACCAATTTATCTTCATTAACACATTTTATCTCGGAGGTCGATAATTTCCCAAAATTTGTAGACCAGTGTTATGATAGAAGAGGAAAAAAATGCTTGAAAAATGGAGCTAATTCTTATTCTGGAGCTTCTTTTCTGAAGCTCTGAAGTTCTCCTGGACCTGCCTTTCCCGGGACATTCAGAACATTGGTTTCACACAGTCTCCCACACTTGGTTTTTACTGATTAGCGGCCCCAAGAAATACTTGACAATTTGAAGAAGGGACATCCCAGAAAAAAAGTACGCTCTTCTTCCCCAGGTTGTGTCCAATGTGGCTAGGATATAATAGCAATAGCCCTTAGACTTATGTACCGCTTCACAGTGCTTTTACAGCCCTCTCTGAGGCGTTTACAGAGTCAGCATGTTGCTCCCAACAATCTGGGTCCTCATTTTACCCACCTCAGAAGGATGGAAGGCTGAGTCAACCTTGACCCAATCAGGATCGAACTCCTGGCAGTGAGCAGAGTTTTGCCTGCAATAGCAATAGCACTTAGAATTATGTACCACTTCACAGTGCTTTTTACAGCCCTCTCTAAGCGGTTTACAGAGTCAGCCTATCGCCCCCACAATCTGGGTCCTCATTTTACCTACCTCGGAAGGATGGAAGGCTGAGTCAACCTTAAGCCGGTTAGGATTGAAGTCCAGAAAGTGGGCAGAATCAGCCTGCAATATTGCATTCTAAGCATTGTGCCAGGAAGGAAGGAAGGAAGGAAGGAAGGAAGGAAGGAAGGAAGGAAGGAAGGAAGGAAGGAAGGAAGGAAGGAAGGAAAAGAAGGAAGGAAGGAAAGGAAGGAAGGAAAGGAAGGAAAAGAAGGAAGGAAGGAAGGAAAAGGAAGGAAGGAAGGAAGGAAAGGAAGGAAGGAAGGAAAAGAAGGAAGGAAGGAAGGAAGGAAGGAAGGAAGGAAGGAAGGAAGGAAGGAAGGAAGGAAGGAAGGAAGGAAAGAAGGAAGGAAGGAAGGAAGGAAGGAAGGGCAATAGCAATAACACTGATATATACCACTTCAGAGTGCTTTTACAGCATTCTCTAAGAGGTTTACAGAGGTTTATTGCCCCCAACAATCTGGGTCCTCATTTTACCCACCTCAGAAGGATGGAAGGCCGAGTCAACCTTGAACCTGGTGAGATCTGATCTGCCAAATTACAGGCATCCGGCAGAAGAAGCCTGCAGTACTGCATTCTAACCACTGCGCCACTAATGCTCCTTCCATCATTATAATGCCTTCCATCACTGACTGAATTGGAGTTTGTGAACTCCATCCATTCGATGCTTGGAGACACCAGGCTCTCCTCTCTTGCTCCAGAACCAGATTTCAGACCTGTGGCTGTTGGCGCCTTCGTGTTCCATCTTCCATGTCTGGCTGAGCTCTTTGTTTGCCATCTGGGTTCTGCAACTTACAGTAAATAACAACTTGTGCTCTCCTGTCCCCTCAGTTGGCTCTTTGCTTGACTGATTTATGGCCTCACTTTCCTTCTGCAGACGAAACCTCCTGAGCCAAGCCAAAAGCATAAATAATTCAACACCGGCATTTAATGCACCCTGGATCAAGCTTCCCTAACCTGCTCAGGTCCAGATGTGCTCGGTTATCTCTGGCACAGAAGGAAGGAAGGCAGGAATTTTTCATCCTCTTAAGACCGCATGACTCCCATCACAACGCCAAACACACACAAACAGGGAGGCAGCAAAAGCAACATTTCCTCCTTTGTTTCGTACAGGCTTACAAAGTCAGAATTTTTCTTTTAGTTTTGATCTCTAGGTATCCATAACAAAAGTTACCACTATGCTAGTTAGTTTTAAATTTTTAACTGTTCAGCCTCTAGCTATGAGTTTCTAACCTTGTTGGGTTTAACTTGATGATAATGAAAAAACTGTCCGAAATTTGATGCTGAGAGAAAGGGCAATCTGTACAACAACAGGAATTATAATCCATTCTTGGATATTGGGAAGGAAGGAAGGGAGGGAGGGAGGGAGGGAGGGAAGAAAGAAAGAAGGAAGGAAAAAGAAAGAAGAAAAAGAAAGAAAGAAGGAAAGAAGGAAGGAAGAAAAGAAGAGAGGAAGAAAGAAAGAAGGAAGAAAGAAAGGAAAGAAAGAAGGGAGGGAGGAAGGAAGGAAGGAAGGAAGGAAGAAGGAAGGAAAGAGGGAGGAAGGGAGGAAGGAAAAAGAAAGAAGAAAAAGAAAGAAAGAAGGGAGGGAGGAAAGAAAGGAGGAAGAAAGTAAGGAAGGAAAGAAATAAAGAAAGAAGGAAAAAGAAAGAAAGAAAGAAAGAAAGAAAGAAAGAAAGAAAGAAAGAAAGAAGAAAGAAAGAAAAAGAAAGAAAGCCCTTAAACTGGACATCAGAGTAGATTAAAGTACCTTACAATTTAGTCTGATCAATTTGTCCATTATATATATATTTTTAGCATACATGTAGTCCTTGACTTATAAACGTTCATTTAGTGACTATTTGAATGGCACTGAAAGAAGTGACTTATCGCTCGTCCTCACACTTATAGCCATTGAAGCATCCCTACAGTCTTATGATGAACATTCTTTTGCTTGGCAACTGGAATGGTATTTAAGCAAAGCCAATGGAGGAAGCCAGATTCA